GTCCCAGCGTTCTCGCTCACTTCGTTGTTCTAGCTGACTCATCTTCACGAGTCGTTTCCCACAGTGGAGGTCATACAAACCCGGTTTCTGAGCATAAATCAGCGTTAAGGAGAAATTTCTGCACAGATTATGATTTTACTCAGACCTTAAAGATCCAGAACAGACTGCAGGCTGCAACAGGAAGCCCTCTGGATAAGAGCAGGAGAAGGAGCAAAGGAGGACACAAGTTAGAAGGCAGATGAGGGTTATACCAGCTAATGCTAGCTTGCTATAGGGGTTCAAATAAACACTTAACCGATGATACAGAGATTTAATGCTTACATATAGGAGTTATTAATGCTGTATAACATCTTAAACTAGACGTTCCATGTAAATGTTCCTCTTCCTCACTGAACAAATCACCACCAATCCTCCACCAAATGTTTAAAGCTACATCTATCACTACATGATTGGACCGTGCTTTATTGCCAGGTTGGTGCTTTTAACCTTTTTTTTTATTATTTTAAATGAAGCACGATGAGCTGTAAGCCCAGACACATCCAAAAAGACTCTAAAAAACATTTAGGATGTTGATTATATGTAGTAATGGACAGGTGTTTTTCAATGTTAACCATAAAAACACTGAAGCTAAAATATCTGTTTAGATCAGTTTAGTGAACCAGCAGGTTGGGGTTTAAAATGGTGGAGAGGTGATCAGTGTTTGTAGCAGAGAGAAACAGAAGTCCTGACTTTGCCACTGATTTACGGAAACTGTGAGTGGAGTAAACTGTGGCTCCATGAAGTCTTCCCTGCCTTAAACACACACACCTACATACACAAGCCATCACCCATAAATCTGACTTCTTCCATGTTAAAACGTGTGTTTTGGTGATGAGCTTCAGTTAAAACCTGCTGGAAAATCCAGCAGCTTCAACATTTCTTTTTTTTTTCTAAACTCTGGGTTCTTTTTTCAAACCAGAAAAGCCCAGAAGAGGGCGCTCTCCACAGCAGCTTTGGTGCTGATGTCAATCTTAGAAGGATGCTGACATTAGCCCGCCATGCTAGCAGAACTCCTGTCTCTTTTCCAACAAGAACAGTGACTCCAACACATTTAGAAAGTCCCTGCAGGCAGTTGGAAAATGTTATGTCGCTTCTTTATAAAGATTTTACTTATTGTATACGAGTCAAGGAAAAAATAGTAAAAAATTCATGACAAACTGCTAATGTTGCTAAAGCTACATTAACATGAACACCCCTACACACAAGTCACTTTAAGCTTGAGTCAGGCTATGTGACATTTTTTTTTATTTATAAGCCGGTATTCTCAAAGATTACCACATCCTGCTGGTGTTCTATATGTTATTATTTAGTTTTATGCTTTAATTCTGCTTCATTTCTTATTAATTAAAGTCTTATTGTATATTCCAGTAACAACAGTGGCACAGTAACGGAGGTAAACAAGAAAGCAATGTTGCTTACTTGCTTAGCAACGTTGCTAAACAAGTTAGCGTCTCACAGAAAAGTGATTAGGTTTTCAAGAAACCGTAAAAAATGTGTGATTTTAAGAGGGCTCAGACTGGAACAGCACTGGGAATACCTTATGAACGCTGGGGTTCACCAAAGAGGAAGCTAATGATTTGATGAATTAATGGTTGTCCACACATTTTAATGCATTTCATTTATTGTCATTCCAATGAAAAAATGTTAGCCTAAGACTTTTTAAAATGTATTTACTGTATTTTCGTGACTATAAGGTGCATATAAACGTCTTTTTTTCCCTCAATGTGCGGCGCGCCCTATGTGTGTTGTTACTGCGGACGTTGTTGAGAGCACCATGAGAACGTTAAAGGGGGAAGTGTGGGCGTGGATTGTGTATAAAAGAACAGGTATGTGATTTATGCAGAACATTGTTGTCTTAACAACCCTAAAAATGGCAATAAGACACGCCTATTAAGCACAGTTTAAACTGAAGGCTATCAGCTACGCAGAAGAACATGGAAATCGAGCAGCCGCGAGAGAATTCAAGATTAATGAATCGATGGTTCGCAAGTGGAGGAAGATGGAAAACCAACTCCGACAGGTGAAGAAGACGCAGCTGAGTTTTCGTGGACATAAGGCGAGGTGGCCCGAGTTGGAGGAAAGACTCGAGCGGTGGATCATCGAGCAAAGAACGAGTAGGGCGAGCGTTTCGAAGGTCGCTGTTCGATTAAAAGCAGTAACGCTAGCGGAAGAAATGAAAATTTAACATTTTCAAGGAGGTCCGTCGTGGTGCTTTCATTTTATGAAACGCTGCCATTTTTCCATCCGGACCAGGACTACAGTAGTGCAACAACGTCCGCGGATTATAACGAAAAGCTGGCGAGCTTCCACTCCTTCTGCAGCAAACACATCGCCAACAAACGCATCCAGCCAAGCTACATTACCAACATGGATGAGGTGCCGCTCTATTTTTAAATACGCAGTAGAGGTATTTAAACATAGTAGATGATATGAACCTGTATATAAAACCCGCGCCCTATGTGTGTGTTAAATACAGTAATGGCACACATAACTGAGACTGCGCCTTTTAGTACGGTGCGCCTTATGGTCGTGAAAATAGGGTAATTCAAATATTTCTCCTCTTAAAGCTGTGTCCCTATTTACGTTTGTTAGAAACAGAAATTCTCCTTTTCCTTGATGTTATTAAAGGAGGCTCTGGGGACGACTGCCTAAAACATAGAGTCAATGTACATCAGTTTATTTAATATCAGTTGGCTTAAGGCTGGTTTATTTTCAGGAACCAGGTTGTCTGCGTGTGTCACCGTGAACGCAGATACGCCCCCCCTCCATTCTATCTGAGAATAAATTAGCATCCAAACAACACAAGCTAACTAAATTGACTCTCTTCTCCAAGCCGGTAAAATGGATCCTGCCCACAGCTGAACCCAGAGTAGATGATTTTCCACTGAACCCATAAGCAATTTCCATCTCAGTTCCGACATCACCGATAAAATTTTGCTCATAAGTCTATGCTGAAACTGTCTCCACTGTAAAAACATTTAAATAACAACCTGGCAAGATATTTATGAACACTTTAACCCTTAGCTCCCATCTTTTCATAACCTTTGCCCAAAGGAAATGGATATCAAAATGCCACTGGTTAATTAAATCATATAAATCCCCCATGCTTGTGATGCATCTCATGTGAAAGCTAAGATCTTCTACTTTTTCGCGATATCTGTACAAACTCCAACCTGAGCTATGCAACTTTAAACATGTCAAAAATTATATTTTTTTCTCTTTCAAAAGAAAATGCAACTCTTAATAGTCTATATCTTGGGTATAATTCATGGTTGCCCTCTCCAACTCACTACACTTGTTGTTCATGTTGTGGACAACAACTGTATAATACTTCACATCTCTAGTCATTAACATTTTCAAACTGTGAGCCTATGTGTATGCAGAAGATCCAAATTAGATCCAAATTAGAACCAAAAGGGCCAAACTGGATTATTTGAATTTTATGTCTAATTTGACCATAAAACACATGAAGTTTTACAAAAACTTTAATTCAAACACTTTTTTATAATCCTCTCGCTCCTTAAGCACATTAATTAGTACCATCTTTTCAGCCCGCCCCTACGCTTTCAATACTTCATGAAAAGCTCATCTCATTGGCTTACAAAATATGTCAGCGTTTTATTGGTCACTGATTTTGAGAAATTCAGCTGAACAAAGACTGGGGACGGCGTTTCTTATGTGTTGGACGTTTCCAACGTATCCTAGATACTGAGAAAGGAACTTATGCTTGATTTTGGGAGCAAACACATTTGTGAATAAGTAGCGTAACTAATCTAAAATGGTAGACATAAAACTGTAAAAAGAGAAAAAAAATAGCTCTTATCAACTTTATTTTTACTTCTATTTTGGAAAAAATTAGTTTTCAAAGTTTATTATGTTATTTTATCTTATGGGAAATTGAACTGGATAATACTTTTCTGTGGACAAAACCAGCCCATTTATGGCAGGATAGAATGAGTGCCAGAAGACAAAAACAAGAAGTGAAAATGATGGATTCTAATTTAATTACAGATAATTCATTGTTGTTGTTTGCAGAGTATAGTTTGAGACGATCATTGTTTTCTGTAGGACAGCCTGATTCTAAAGAGGTCCAACATGCTGGGTTTTGTTTACAAATAAGTTTACTGTTAGATGCGGAATGAAATGTGACGTCAAACCGTTCCGGTGTTCGGGCGGTGGGAGCTAAGGGGTTAATGATTTTTAGGATGGATCAAATAAAAAAATAAAAACTCTAATGCATTGCTTTTATTTAGCATGCAGCTGTTTGACAGTCACTGTAATCAGGAGCAAACAGAGCTTTGAAACCAGGTGTCAATGCTACCTCTATGGGTTTTTAAGTTTCTTCTGCCCCCTTGAGGACAAAACTGATTATAGCAACAGAAATATATTTTATCAAAAAAGGTTTTGAGAGTTATTTTCCGGTTTTTTAGATTTTAATTTTTTCAATTTGTTTTATTCATTAACGACTAAGTTTCTATTTCTTTAAATATGTTTTTTTTACAGATTTTATATTTTTTATTTCTTTTTCAGATTGAGTTTTACCAATCTAATTTTTTTCTGAGTTTATTTCAAAGATCGTATTCTTTTCACTTCAAAGTCTTTGCAGAAGGTCTTGACCAATAGGAATGATTGTTGCTGATCCAGCAGACCAATAGAAATATCCCTTCCTGAAGTGAAGACAATGTGATCTGAGGAACGCAATTAAAAAAGAAGGCAATTCTTAACTCAACCTGAAAAAGAGAAATTTGAAAAATAAAAATAAAAGATATATAAATGAAACAAAATTTGAAATCAAATATAAAAGGAAAAAGCCTAAAAAACAGTAAGGTTACTTTATTATAATAAACTACTATTAAAAGGTCTTATAAAGATTCCTTTCCTTGCAACAATGAAACAAAATTCACTCTATATCTCAGCATATGAAGTTATATAAAAGATATAAACACTAATAAAGCTCCTACCTCCTGCGTAGTCCCACACACGGTGATTAGTGAGCTGCATGGCGTACGTGTGCTGCGTTTCCTCAAAGTGCTTGTAGGCATGCCGACTGACGTAGCGACCGCAGCCGATGTGCCCGCAGATCAAACAAATCCACAGGTTCTGACAAAATAAATCGAAAAGAAAAATCAGAATGATAAATTTAAGGTAAAACTTCAACAAGATTAATTGGCTCTGATGATATGACATCATTAGTCACCTCCTGAACTCCACACTCAAAGCATTTGTTCTCTTCAACCGGCTCTGGTGTCTGACAGTAGCGACACACAGGACACCTAGAAAAACACAGGACGCACTGAGCTGAGGTCACCGGCGCTTTGTGAGGGAGAAGAATACAAGCAAAGAGCTGCACAGGCAAACAAAGCTGAGGGAAACATCCAGAACAGTTAGAATCAGGCACACATTGGCTGCCTGTAAAGAACAGGAGGACGGAAAGACGTTGGCTCCTGTGAGGGGAAGAAACGGCAGCTTGAACAGGAAAAAGAAGGAAGAGTCCAACTCACGAGGCGTCTTCCCACCGCTGGAGACACTGGCTGTGAAAGCTATGGTTGCAGAGGGTGGTGAGGATGCCGTTGACAGACTCGTCCATCCTCTCCAGGCACACGGTGCACTTAGGCAGCTCGGTCAGCTCCATCACTGGCAGGCTGGCTCCCTGGGAGGGGGGTGAAAGAAGAAGGACAATGGCGAATATTTTCAAATCGGTGTCTTTGATCCCCCAATATATGGATGTTTGAGGATTTTTGAAGGAAATGTAATTTTTTTTCATGATAAAATGATTTTTAAAAAGTTACTCAATCTAACTTAATTTAAACAAAACAGGACATTTTTCAACAAATCAAAACAGCACTTAAAGCTTATAGCTACAACCTTTTTAATGGCAGCTGTTGGTAAATGAATAATACAATTTCTAAATTTAGGACAATTTGATTTAATTGCAATATCGATATAAACAAGATAATAAAGGGAGGCTGTTTCTCAATTGACTACAACGTGAGTACGGACTCGTGTCCTCGCCAAGTATGTTCTTCAGAAGAGCACAGGAAAGTATGGACTCTGGGAGAACGGGAGCACGCAGGATGAATCTGGGTCAATGGGAACAGAAGCGTAATGATGATGTCACCACACGCTCTGCTCGTCTAGAGCCTCATTTCACCTCCTGTTATTAACAGTCTCTAGATAATAATAAATTCTGACCTTGTTCATTTAGTGGGGGAATAATAATAACACAGTCAAATTAACACAAATCAAATAAATATTTTGCAAAACAAAATAAATAAAATAAAAAATCCCCCTCAGGCCAGCGGTCCTTCACGCACAGCTATGCAGAGAGAGGGCTGCTGCAGACGGGCTAACATTAGACCTGGCTGCCGTTAGCCTCAGAGATCCGCTAGCTGCTGAACGTCACATTAGTGACGCTTTAAAGTACAACGTTATCGCCTTAAATGATCTTAAAATGTACTTTTATTGAACAACAGCAACAGAAAAGAGAACTTTTAATTTTCAATGGAGCGCTCCATTGAAAGCTGCTGCTGCCGCAGTGCATGCTGGGACAGCTGTCAATCTCAAGACTGGACAACCCTGCTCTGATGCATGCTGGGTAAAGATGGAGGGAGGAGAACAATATCTGGGGACTTTGTCCGTTCTCAGCCTCCTTGTTCTTGTGAATTGGAACAGTACTAGGGCTGAGGTTGATTATGTTTCACGAGTACACGAGAACTCACAAGTACACATATTGAGAAACGGCCCAAGACTAGAAAGTGAACAGAAGGAACAGAATAAAAAAACTGACTTCAATCAGTGACCAACAATAACGTGATGATAGACGAGTAAATCTATGAGAGCTTTGTTTTGTTTATATAAAGCTAAAACCTCAATAACAGATACTAATAGAGCTGAAACAATTCATCAGATTAACTATTTTAGTAAACGATTAATCAATAACTAGAGTATACAGATTGTAAAACATGCCTTTAGCTGACAGAGTGACCCACTTAGAGCAGTAACTATACCAAGATTGTAAAGATATATAAACATTTTGGATTTAAGATAAAAAAAAAAATGTTTTCATCTGTCAATATACTCTATCCAGTGGAAAAGTTTAAGTTTCACCTGGTTTCATTTTGGAAAAAGTCTCCTTTAAGTAACCTTTGGCTATCTGATTATTGATCCATTAATCGAAAAAATAATCTACAGATTAATCAATTTGCAAAATAACCGTTAGTTGCAGTCCTAAATAATGCTAATTCATAAAAATAACAAACTAAAAACTTAAAATAAGAGACAAAAACTGCAGAGGAAATATTTCTGAGGCCAAATGACATAAAAATCACTAAGAATTCAAGATCCCACTGAATCCTAGAATCCTGTTAATCCTGCACTAAATCGAAATATAGTTTTATATGCACCATGTTTATACAACAATTAAAGTTGTCTAAGTCTAATCCAGCCAATTAACCAGCTTGATCATCTTCTTAGGAGGAGCTTGAGCTAAATGGACCTCGCCCACGGCTCCAGCAGGTAGAGGTCAGAGGTTAAGCCTGTCTGAGATGTTTCTTTGTCAGAACACACCTTATTTTAAACTGAACGCTCATTAACTGACCAGACTTGTGGGAAATGATTCTTTGAATCAGGGACACACCTTAAACTGAAAGCTAAAAGCATGCAGTCCAACAAACAATGCATCCTTACATCCTCGGACTTGATCACCTCCGCTCGCTCCACATAGACCAGCTGGCACACCGCTTCCTCAATGGAGTTGAACTGGCGTCCGTTACAGGCCGTGTAGAAACTGTCTGCGTCTGCCTGGGAGACACAAACAGACAGGAGAGACGGCTTTTAAGGTTCAGATGAGACAAAAGCTGCTGATCAATGATGTGATCTAATCAATTTATTGTAATTTCATTGTTAAAACAAAGAATGGATCAAAAATAGATCATTTAACTTGTATAAATAAACAAAATAACTATTAAAGTACATAAGCTTCACAGAAGTGTGTGTAGTCTCTGAGCATCAGCTTAGCCGGATAGGGGGCGCTATAACTCCCTGTATAAAAGTCACAGCACCCCAAAGAAAACATAGATGAATAATTTTTCCTCAACATTCTGAAACGATGGTTATTGTTGACATTTTTTCTTAGACTCAAGCAGAAAATGTTAAAAAATGCATAAAATCAACCATATCAGTAGAACCTGTATAGATGCACTACCTGTGAGGTAGAAAGAACAGATCTACTTCTGTAGATGAATCCTCAGAACAGAACTCACCTGGGAGGAGAACTTAATCAGAACCATGTACTGGTTCGGAGTGGAGTCCCGGATGATCTTCATGTGCTCCATGACATCATTAAATGGCGCCATCAGCTTCATGAGGTCATGGCTGGTCATGGTGGCCGGGACTGTGAGGATGCACACCATGGCGCTGCGCCTCACATCCTCAGTCAGGGAGGTCATTTTGCTGCAGAACGACAAAAAGAGACATTTTAGATTCACAGAGGGTTAAATTTTCACAGCGTGGGGGTCACCGCTGCCCAGCTAACCGCACATTATGACAGAGATTTAAATTCATTAAGGAAAAGGAAGGAAGGAAGGAAGGAAGGAAGGAAGGAAGGAAGGAAGGAAGGAAGGAAGGAAGGAAGGAAGGAAGGAAGGAAGCTTCAATGAAAGAATTGTCACATAATTTATAATTCTATTTTTAAATATTTAATTTGACAATAAATTATTGATCCGTGCATTTTAATAATTTTGGCATATTTAATATTTAAATTTTGTTTTAGATAAATAAATATATTTTTAAAAAGCATTATTTACTTTATAAATCTAAATTTATTTTTAATTATTTGACAGGAAATTAAATTATTTAACAGTATTTAATATTTTTACTGAATATTTTATGTTTTAATCAAGTTTTAATAAACTAATAAATGCATTTTTTTATTAAAATGGAATAATTTCAGTTATAATTTAATGGGACGTTTATTTAACTGTGCATTCTTTAAATTCCTGACATATTCAATATGTTTTAGAGAAATAAACTAATGTCATGGGAAATTTGCTTCATGGATGACATCACAATGATTGTGAAAACCATCTTTAGAACGCCACTTTGGTAACCCCCGCCTATGAGATAAAGAAATAAGTTTGGGAGATAGAGGTATATTTCTAGAATATTTTCTCTTTCATAGTTAAGTAGACCTGTAAAGTATAGAACTATAATTCCAGACCTCCCCCAGGCTGTGTTGGAGGCCTGTTTTCTTAATCTTCTGACTCACTTGGTCTTGTACAGGTGCATGATGCCATGGACGATCTCCACTGACGGGTTCCCGCTGAAGAAGGAGATCTGTTCAGGGAGCTGCTTGGAGGGCGAGTCTGGAGCCGTCTGCTGGCTGGCGCCGGCTTCCTCAGCTCCACTCTGTGCATCCTGAGGAGCGCCGCTTCCTACTTCACCTCCTGCTTCACAATGAAGGAAAAGAAATTCAGCAAAATGAAATGCAGTGGTTCCAGCCTGATGAAAAGCACAGAGTTCATCCGTAGCCATGATACGACATCAACAGAACGGCTCCAAAACCTCCATGAAATTATCATTTATCCTTTAATCTATTGAGAAACCATTTGATCTAATTTAGGTAAGTTTGAGCTTAAACCTGGGTTTGTATGCAAGACTGCTGTGGAGGCAGATTCATGATCCCATTACTTTCGAAAATCTCCACTGTCCAGCAAAAAATTGAACATTTAAATAATTGGAAACACATTGGAATAGGAAATGAGCTTCAGAAAGCTACTTAGCATAGCATAGTTTCCCAAACATTTCAGCCAGTGACCGAGAATACATTTCACTAAATGTATTTTTAACAGCCATATAGAGCCTCAATGACTGTGAAAGCATCAGACCACCATATTGGGAAACTCTGCTGAAGACGGTACAAATAATACATTATTAACAAATTATTGACTGCATCTGAAAATATCAAAGATATTTTCAATTCAAACGTAGATATGAAATAATACAATATAACCTACAATAACTTAAATTATATCATTGTACTTGGTCATCAAATCAATTCAGTTTAGTCTGTTAAAATCAGCTGCCTGTAGTGTCTTTAAATGTCCAGCAGGTGTCAGCATTCTGTGAGACAGAATCAACGCAGGATCAATACAGTTTAGTAATGAAATGCTTCAAGATGCCTCATTAAAACATCACAAATACATAGTTAAGTGAGCCTTTTCTTAGTTATATTTGGAGCAAAACCCTGCATGAATGTATTTTAGAAAAAAAATATATATATATATTTTTTTTTTCTCTAATTACCGCTTTCATTGTTTTTCTTCAGTCTCATCTAAACTGAGCAGTGAAGGTTTGGATAAATAGAGAAATGAGCTAATTTTTACCATCTGCTTTTATTCAACTTTTAACATAAAGAAGAAGGAAGCAACTGTTCAAATGAACGTTTATGGATGTGATCCATGAATAAAACATAAAATGACCCTTTGCCAAAAGCTGTGTGGTTTCCTCTAATGCTGCTGGAAACAGCCTCAATGACAGGACTCCATCAGGCTGGCTGTTAATGATGGAACGTAAACAAAGATGAGAGCAGCAGACTGTTCCTGTACTTAGTCAGGCCTCCGAGGAATGGACTTGTTTTTTCCGGCGCCTCTTAGATCAACATCCAGGCCATTCGGAGGGAGAGGTCATACCTCATACTTGTCGTTGTACCGTTGATTATAATGTGAGTGATGGGAAACTGAAGTCAAAGTTCTGTGAAACATTTTGGCTTGATTTAGAACTGCATATTATCTGACTTTCATTTAAGCTTCAGGAAAATCTCATTGAGATTATTAGTCTCTTTTGCAACTGAGTCCTGGTCAAGATGGAGACACTCATCACAACAATTCAGTATATTACAGACAGTAAAACTATTTAAAAACATTTCTAATGCATGGTTTTCATTTCCAAACCTTGAACCAAGAGCTTAACGTGGCCTAATAGTTCCTTTAATTTCCAGTAAATTCGTCAGTAGTTGCATGCGGTGGGGACAAAAGTATGAAATTCCACCATACCAGTTTCTGGGCAAACATTGGTTACAGACTGTAGCAGAGTCTTGTGATCATAAAGGGCAGATTAGACTTCTGCAAGCGAACACATCAAATGTCGCTTGGGTCTGGTCACGAACCAGTTTATCTGGTATGCTTCTGCACCGTCGGTCTGGAGTTTCCAGGGACCCACAGCAGTTTCCCGCCAAAGCATGAGGGGGAGCTAATTCCAGAACTCGTGAGAACTTCAGCAGATGGTCACGAGAACTTTGGCGGTGCTGGCGGGAGTGTTTATCTTCCAAAACAACAATGGCGCGTCTGCAAGATATCACGGACATGGATCTGGAGTTGCTAGACATCGAAGAGGAACAGGTTCTGTTACTGGAGCAAACCATCCTGGATTCCCCTTTCATTGTAGTTGTCAGTTGCAGTTGTTCCTGGGCTTTAAAAAAGCTGCGCCCCGGCATCGGATCGAGAAGGACGACCACACACACAACCAGAAAGGCATAGCAAGGACCAATTACACCTGATTTTTGTCTGCGCACTTCAGCTTGAGGTCTGCGCGGGTTTAACGGCCGTCTGATGCGTAGTCAGGATTTTTTTTTTTTTTTTTAGGTGTGCGACGACGGTCGCAGAACTTCTGTGCGAGGGGCGTGGTCACGCTCAGAGACAGATTTGATGGTTGCAGAGGCTATGCGTCAGAAGCATAAATTGGCCTGAAAGAATACAGCCCAGTCACTTTTGGCTGCATATATTCACTGAGATAAGAGGTTTAATGTGCTTACAAACAAACAATTCTCCAATGCCGGCCAGCCAACAGGTTTACAGTGTGGTGTGCGAGGTTTATATATCGTGATAACCCTCAATGAGGCTGATAAAAACAGTCCAGTAGTTTCAAAAATTGAGTTGGGGCATCCCTATCATCACTGTGTTTCTGTGGTGGGATATTTAATGCGAGAATTATGGAGTCAGAAAGAGGTCAAAATGTTTGTAAACATAAAAATCTTAGCTGAAACTGAAAGAATAAAATTTGAAACAGAAGAAATATAAGTTGACATTGAATGTCCAATTTTTACCCTATTATCTGAAAAACTAAATAAGCAAACATAAAATAATAAGAATTGAATCTAACCCTCGGCTTGAAAAAAAAAAAAATAATTCTGTTTATTATTTTAATTACACTTTTTCTTTTCTATTTCTTTTTTATTGCAGTTTTAGATTTTCTATTTTCATATTCAAATCCCTTTCTTTCAATATAAGTTTCTTTTTTTGTTTCAAATTCCTTTTTTAATTTCAGGTTGTTGGTTTTTTTACACTTTCAAATCAGTTTATTTTTCACCTTCTGATTTTGACCCCAGTCTGAGGGGAGTGGGCGGGGAAACGTGACTGACAGCTTGTAGCAGCGCTGGAGAGATGTCCCGTTCAATGTTGCTTTCATGGACAGTGGGAACACCAACTACTTCGGCAACACACGGCAGCATTTATTTGCCTTCTTGGCAAAATCCTGTGAAAAATGTAACGTAAAAGACATTTACACTGCAACTCTCGCTAATAATCATTCCAGGATTCATTAATATATATATAATAAACAGCCACTGTGTAAACTGCAAAAGTTTCCCACAACCACACAGCAAATACTGCATCTGTTCACAGAAAGATAGCGTCTGCACTGAGTGGTTCCAGCAGCCCTGCTAATCAGGTTAGTTTAATCTTTTTTACTTTGTCACAGTCCTAAATAGTGCAGTGAAGATTAAGACCTTTAAAAGATGTTAAAAAGGGAAATATGCTCCTAGCGATGTTTAATGTGGCCAAACCTTGACATGAAGATAATGTTACATTAATTTATAAACAGAAGAACACTTAGTTGAGACTTTGGTCATTTGAAATGAATTCGTTAGCGTAATTAGCTGCCAGACACAGCTGCTCTAGCCGATTTCATCAACAGGTGCTAGTTATGGGTTAGCCACAGCAGGCTACATCGTTACAGGAAGGCAGAGGAGGGAAGGTTCGCCACATAATATATTGCCAGGAGCTTATTTCCCTTTTTAACATCTTTTAAATGTTTAAATCTTTAATGCTTTATTTTTTACTGTGACAATGTAGTTAGTAAAAAAGATTAAACTTACCTGATTAGCAGTGCCGCTCGAACCACTCAGTCCAGATGACAGAGAATTTGCTTTGCTGTCATGGGAAAGTTTTGTGGGTTATACAGTGGTCGTCTATTTTTATATATAAATGCATTCTGAAATGACGATTAGTGACAGTTCCAGTGTGAATGTCTTTAACATAATAATTTTTACAGGATTTTTCCAAGAGGGCTAATAGATGCTGCAGAGAATGTGTTCACCTTGTAGTTGGAGTTCCCACAGTCCATTAGACTAGTAAAGTAGCCCCACCTGCTAGCGGCCAAAATAATTTTTTACCTGCGAGTGGTCTAGCCTCGATCGATGCCCCAGGCCCTAGAACTGGCAGGCCAATCACAACGCAGAGATGTGTTTTGAATTTTTGGATGCAAAGCGGGCGGGTTTTTGAGGGCGTGACGACTTGTTGTGCTGGAGAAAGCACAACAAGGAAGATGGCAACAACTATTGAACAGTTCTCGTTTGACTCAGCTATGGAATCACTTCTGGAAGGATTAGACTTGGGGTTTTCGTTGAAACGTGAGCAAGAAGAGGCTCTACGCTCATTCATTTTTAAGAAGGACGTATTTGCCGTTTTACCAACAGGCTGTTTGTTTACACTCCCCCACCAGCTTTCTGTTGCGCTTGCTACGTCACAATCAGTTGCTCTTATTGGTCAGAGCGTTGGCCAATAGGCACAGACAGCGGTTTGAAAAACAACGGGTTGTTCTCAACAATCTTCCTCTGTCTCATTCATCGGGGCCAGAATAAATTACACATTTAATCTCACATTTAGTCTGGTTTATCAGGTTAACAGTCCATTAATGAAACATTGAAAGGCACATCCTGAAACTGAAAACAGAATTTGAAACTAAAAACTGAAACTAACAGAAAAGAATTTTATTCTGAAATATATAAAATCTAAAACTGCAATTAAAAAAAAAAAGAAAAAGTATAATTAAAATACTAAACTGAGTCTAGATTCAATTCTTATTTTTCACATTATATTATTTGACAGGATATATCAACTTCTATTTTCTGTTTCAATTTTAATTATTTCAGTCTCAAAGATTTTGAAGTTTACAAAATGTTGACTCCTTTCTGACTCCATAAGAGTAGCTTCATTCAGACCAGCTTGAAGATTCTCTATAGATAATCAGCTGGATTGAGGAGAAATGTGATTTTCCATCCCTCTGAAAGCTTACCTGAGCTGGCTTCATAGGTTTCTATCACCATGTCTCCCATGGCTCTGCTGCCCATGTGCTGGTGCTGGATGGCTGTTCTCTCCAGCTCACTCTTCCCATTTAGTGCATGTTTGGCTAAACAGAGACTTTTATCCCGCAGCTCCTCCTCTGACATGCCTTCAACTGAAACCCAAAGCACATGCGAGCTGAATCAAACGGTTATAGAAACAAAACACTCAGACTAGCAGCAATCAGGGTTAGCCTTTAGCTCTGCCCCCAACTTTCAAAATGTACGTTTGGAAATATTTGCTCACCAGCAGAGTATTGAAACCCTTGTGGAAAGGGGGACTGGTCGGCTATTTCCAGACGGATGACAACCAGTGAAACACTCATGTGTTTAGAGGGAAGAAAGGACGTTTACAGAAACATAAACAAACAGCTGACAGCTGAGCTAGCAACACCACGCTAGCTGGATGACTAGCTGTTCGGTTCGCGTCCCAGAAAACCCCAAAAAAACTACCAGCTTAAAGCAGAGAAATACGAGGGGTGTTTTTTAGTTCAAAAAAATAGTTCAACTACCATGTTTTACTCTGCCTACATTTAAATATGATTATATTAGTGCTAGGATGTTCAACTATCTAAACTTTAGCTAGCTGATCTGATGCTAGATAGCTCTTCCTCTTGATCCCACAAGGCTAAGCATTTAGCGCCCCCTACTGGTGCGGAGTGGTAACTACAAGTAAACCGACAAATAATAAAAAACAGAACTTGCTTAACTGATATCTACACATGAGAGGGAGAAAAATATTTACACATTGACTTTAAACCTTTATAGGGTCAGTTAGCGTTTCAAAGATGCTGCTACATGGCTGTACATCTTATTTTGGCATTTGACCAATTAGATGAGCCCTTGAATGGTATATCACCTACTGTAAATTAAGTTGAAAAAAAGTTAAAAAGTAAAGAAAAAAAGGTACAAAGCTAATTAAAAAGTTAAAAAGTAAAGAGAGAAGGTTAAAACCTAATTGAAAGGTTAAAAAAGTAAAGAAAAAAGGTAGAAAGCTAACTGAAAAGTTAAAAAGTCAAGAAATAAAAATGTTAAATAGCTAATTGAAAAGTTAAATAGTAAAGAAAAAAGGTAAAAAGCTACCGGTAATTGAAAAGTTAAAAAGTCAACAAATAAAAAGGTAAAAAGCTAATTAAAAAGTTAAGTTAAAAAGTTAATAAGCCTAGTTAACAATTATATTTAGGTTTATAAACAAAAACAAAAAAAAGTAAGTGCCAGCATTAGCATTAATGCCTCTATGGTTATGTTGTAAGGTGACCAGATTTCTGCAATCTAATCTGGGGACATTTCCAGCTCGTAGATAAAAATAAATACATGTGGTGAAAATTAAAATAGGAAATGGGGGCAGTGATGCCTTTATCCATATTTAGATATTTAGGTTTAAAACTTTCCTTTTTGATAAAGCTTATAGTTAGAGTGGCTCCAGTTATCCTGAGCTATCTCTATAGTTATGCTGCTATAGGCTTAGACTGCTGGAGGACATAGGGACCCCCGTTTCATCATTCTATCTCTATTCTCCCACTCTGCAGAATCTATTAGTTCAATCTCTAACGTTCTGCTCTCTATGCTTTTTCTCATAGTAGCTTCGCCTCATCTATTCCTGTTTGGCTGTGACTCCATCCTGGAGAGAAATATCAGCTGTGCTGTTGCCATCAACACCTTTGTTTATAGATGTTTGAGATCAGCCTGTTTTTCAGTGTTGTCCTGTTTCTCTGACCGTGACTGGCTGGATATGCTCTCTTCATCCTCTGACATGGGAGCTGCCTTGGAGCTCGTCTGCCTGGCTGTGTGTTTCCTGGACGGGGCCGCCTTTTACAGCTGCTTTTTGTATCTCTGCTTCTGTCTCCTTGAACCCCAGTCGGCCTCAGCAGATCATAATCATATGATACCAAGTAAAAACTATAAAATTTGATGAAATACCTTATAATGACTTTGAATCTGATTACTTTAAATCTCGATATTATGGACTTCATCTCATAATAGTGACATCCCATGTACATGTTTTTCCTCTTTAAAGTGTCAGAAATGGGCTTCCGTAGATTTTAAATATCAAGGCACCACTTAAAACACAACTAGGCTACTTCCTATGTTGATGCCATTTGTCATATTATTACATCCATGGTTAAAACATGTTGTAGATAGATTAACTAACCAATAGTTGGGACTCCGTTCTGCACCATTGTGTGGGTAAAAAGTTGAAAAGTTTAGTAAAATAAACTGAAGTTTGTGGCTGTGTCGAAGTAGCTCAGGCAGTTCTCAGTGAAGAAATGACGCACATTTTCTCACATTTACCCTTTTTATTTAAAAAAAGAAGGAAAAAAAAGCATCGACATTCCAGTGTTTGTGTTTTCCATTTTCTAACAAAAGGGAGCGATAAGACGACACTCTAGATTGTCAACCCTTATTAAGCAAACCTAAGATCACCGGCATCTTCTCTGCAGCCGCAAAGCCAATCGCACAAACGAAGAATAGAAAGGGCTGGACCTTTGCTTTTAAAAACAAAAACACAAAAGGTTTTAATTATTGGACAAGGATGGAGGCAGGACTTAGAGGAAGGAGGGGGAGGCGCCATTTAATATTGGTTCATACTTCTAAGCCAAACTCCCGCATAAAGAGTGAAAAAAACCAAACAGGGGGGGTTAAACAGTCATCAGTGCTCCTCAAAAGAGGCGGAAACAAAACAAGCATAAGAGGATTCCGGTATTTTAGAGTGAAACAAGTAGGTTTCAAAAACAGGGAGGAGCCAGAATACAGGACAAGGTTTCACTTCCTACTGCAGCTGCTTATAAAAAACAAAAACACACTTCCTTTCACGCTGTATTCGGATTCTATATACAATTAGGTCCAATGTTCTGTTGGTTTGCCCGTCCCAGAGCAGGACCGTAAAATAAAAACTCACAAGCATCTGGAAAATGGGTATCTCTACGTCTGTCACTACGTACAATGGTGGCCGTCGGTTGCATAAAGACGCTTTAATCTCACCAGCCTGCAGCGCGTTTGTGGTAAACATTCATGTTAAGATCATCACTAAAAAATGATCGCTTAAATAATGAGAATCAGTCGAGTTTTCAAATGGTCTGGATTTTACAAGACTTGTCCACAAGCACCACAAAAAACAGTATTTATTAAAAAAAAAGGAAACATCCTCCTGTTATTTAGCTCAATTCGTGTAATACTGCAACTACGAGGGTTCAAAGCAATAAACGACGTACAGGAAGCTAACCGAAACAAAAGAGGACGTAACGATTCTGTAACGGGGCGCTTCGTCAGTCCAAAGCGCCCCCTGCTGGCTGCCGGGCGTTCGTCCCTCCAAAAGCAGCTGAAAATTAAAGAAAAAAAAAAGAAAAGCAGCACATAGACAGATCCTTCCTCCTCAGCGCTGAAGTTGTGCGTCTAAAGGTGAGTTTGTGACGTCACCAGAGAACAGGAAACTTACCGACAAACAGGATAGTGGTTTATTAGGTCTTATACTCTCATGAAGTCAATGAGTTATGGTTTATATTATGTACAATAATTTATTAGATTCTAAAACTGTATATTCATTTTTCCTTATGTGAGATAATTCTGTCTAAGAGTGCACCTGTTGGGTGTCATTCGCAGATGCTGCGTCAGTTCATGAGTTTTCTTACAGGCTCATGTGCTATTAGAGTTGTGTGAGTTCTGGAGGCGCGTGGTGACGTGGAGCGGGAGGAAAAACAAAGACCCAGACGGAGCTCCTGCAGCCCCAGGTAGTGAAGAGGACAGGAAACGGGCAGCGTGGCGAGGTTTCCGTTTGACTCGCGGCGGATCAGACAGGAACGGGGGTGTGATGGTGGAGGGGGGTACAGTCTTCTTCAGTCCGGGCGGCTGTGCAATGCTCAGATTTTAAGGTTCTTTAAAGTTTCAGCTCTCTTTTTGAGTAGATCGCCCACCTCCTGGAGCGAGCGAAGGTAACTGCCTTGAACCTTCTCCATGGCGACCTTCGTAAACGACGCCTCGTCCTGAAACAAAAACGGAAATGCAAACGTCAAGGATTTCTTCCCACTAGTCCTACAAAAGTCCTCAACTTTGCCCAATTTAACCCCTGAAGCCTGCAGCTCAATTTACCAAAAAAAAAGCACAATTTAGAAGACATTTTTAATCGTAAACTGCTAATCTGGTCATCAATGACAAAGGTCCTGGAGGATGAAGTGAATTTGAAAGTAAATTAAACTGAGCCCGAGTAAATGAACTTTAAATGGCAAAAAAAATAACTTCTACCTAAAAAAACATGTTTACATTAAAAAAATAAAAAGATTCTGTAATGAACAGAGCATGTGAGCGGTGGAGCGGAGTGGAAGAAATATGGTGGAGCGCAGAGGGGTTTTCAATTCAAAGGCCGGAGCGAGGATTTCGCTCAAAGTCAATGGAACAGACTTTATTTAAATTCATGTTTGACCTAAAACCTAAAGGCCACTACCGATACTGTAGTCTGTGCCTTTCATGTTATAATTTGTTATAATATGTTTAAAATTTACCACGGAATTGCAGAGACAAGGATTGCTATTGTGAGGTAAAAAGTTGGATAAAATATCATAAAAACATACACTAACTATTCTTAACAACACAGAGTGAGTTTACATAAAGTGATCGTTGTGGTAAAAGCCTGTCTTTGAAAATGGATCGCATCCATGCATTATACTCCATTATCTCATTAGCAATGGGATGCGAAGTGACCTTTTTTAATGTAGTCTAGTAAAATAAATGAATAATTTAATAGGAAATGCGGGGCAACATGAATGGAGCGAGGTGTTACGTTCACAGCTGGGAAACCAGTCAAATAAGACAATACACATGTATCGGTCTCATCATTCAATCGAACGCAGTGTGTCTCAGGGCCCTGGCATCATTACATGAAGGAAAAATGTCAGAAAATGCCTTCTCCTGAAAATTTGAGCAATTTAGCGGGAGCAGTAGGAAAATGATGGTGAGCGCCGAGCCGATTTTGAGCAGAGCGTCATGGCGCAGCATTGAGCGGCGAAGCGAATGAGTGAACATCCTCCTGAGCGGGAAGCAGGAACTGTGCGGCGCTGCGCTCCAGTCACATGATCTGGTAAAGAATGAAATAAACTGCAGATACGACATCTTGGTTGGATATGTAGCAAGTATGGTGTCCATACAGAAAGTTTTTTTGAGACTTTTTGTAAATATGTTCCATCCAAGAGACGTGAAGATGAAGTTTTAGCATCATCTGGATCAAATAAAATAAAAATAAAAATCAATAAATCAATCAAGCAGTTCTCTACCGATTTTTTATTTGTTTATCTAAAAAACTAATCAACAAATAAATCATCAATGAATTTGGCATCTAGCTATATCTCCATGGCCCTGAATGAACCTTAGTAACGCCGAGTCTCTCATATTTGAAACGAGTGTGATTTAATTTAAAAACCAAAAACGAAAAAACATGTACTTTATACATTCAGACACATGTGGTGAAGAAAAAACCCCATAATGAATTGCATCGGGGGGGGCATAGATGTTGTCGGATCAGAGTAAATGAAGAACAGGGACTTTCTTCAGCTTACTTTAGTAAGCTGAAGAAGAAAGTGAAGAAAGTAAGCTTATGATACTCTCAGCCTTTATTCACAAAGATAATGTTCAGAAACTTAACCCTGTAATGCCAAATGTATCGTATTTGATACATACGGTTTCTGAAATGTTTTGCGTCTGACACCTTTTGCATAATTTAAGATAAAAACTTTGCTCAAAATCCTATTGTACACAATCAGATATACCTGATAACAGAGGG